GGAGGATAACTACATCATTTCATAACTGCCACATTACATAATTACATAACTACCAAACCACTGAGAATCATGGTGCAGCCAAGTTGACACACAACCTTAACCATCACAGGTAGTAAGAGCCACCTTGCAGAGTTTTTGTGAGAAAGAGGGATAATGCCTTTGAGGTACTCTGCTCAGAGCAGGTACTCAGCTAATGGACATTTATGCTATTAGCAATTTCCTTGCACAATTGGGCAATTACAGGCACAAAGGGCATGTGCCAGAGACTGTGGCACAAAGCTTTTTGAATGACTTAGGTATTTAGAAATATTGAAATCATTTTTTTTAAATAAGCACCTAGGGAACACCTAAGAATATAAATTCGAAAGGCTTATCTTCCACAGGAAGCTCACATTTTCTTGGGAGAGAGAGATAAAAAGCAGATAATTGTCAAATGCTTTTTCTCCATTTACCCTGCCTCGGGCCTTATGCCTGTCCTTGCCTCTCAATTGAATTTACAATCTCTGCAAATGTATTGTCAAATATACTTTCAGCATTTCACCACCTCAGAATCCCTGAGAACTCTCTAGGTCTTTACCAGCTAAAAGAAAAAGAATTAATCAGATCCATTTAGAAAAAGGATCTAGGTAGCCAAGAATACAGAGAAGCAGGGCCAAACTAAGAAAAAATGAACAAAATAGTTGAGATTTATCTTTCAGTACATTTTTACCTCCCCTTTTTGCCAAAATTTCAGCAACCTCCCAATACAGCCAGCTGCCCCATACACCCTGTGTGCCCAGTGGCTCAAGTCAAGTCTCTTCCGTCCCTCCCTGCACGCAACCATATCTCCCCTATGTCTGCTCTCTGCTTTCCAAGGCGATAGAGTAGAAGCATGATGTTATGATTTACTGAGCACCTACTGTGTGCCAGTGTTCCAGGCAATAATTAGACACTTTACATATGTTATCACATTTGATCCTCACAACAGCCCTATTTCATCTCATTTTATGGATGAGGGAAATGAGCTAGTAACATACCCAAACTGACATTGTCTGTAAACAGTATCATTTAAATGCAAGTCTTTCTAACTCCAAAGACTTTGGTCCACTAAGACCTTCAGACTGTCAGCTATTAGTGTCATGAACAGCTTCTGGTCTTTGTGAAGATAATGGCCAATATTGATTGTATTTGTTGTGAGTTCTTGCCTTAGGTCCAGTTCCCTAGAAGCAGTTGCCTGGGAGGAATTTGGGTCCCCTGGGTGTATTGAGGGTGTGTCCTCAGGAGAAAGGGAGCAAAGGAATAAGGATAGGGCAGGGGAAGGGGCCTTGGCTGATCTAGCTCCAGCCTAACCCCACAGAGAGCTCTGAAGCACAATTTGCCCCACTGAATTGGCTGTACTTGAGGACTGGCCTTTTTTAGCCTGGGTCAGTCAATCATTGGCACTGCTGCTGTGAGTAAGGAGGGGTCCTTCTAATCCAGGCAGCCCCACCAGCTAAGGGCAATTCATCAGAGAAGGTACAGCCATGAGCTCTTAGTGGGCAAGCATCAGCCTGGTAAAAGGCTCCAATAGCCTGCCCTTCTCACCTTCTGTAGGGGTATTGACATTCTGAAAAGAAACCCTAGGAAAAATAAGTCCCTGGGTGGTGCAAATGGTTAATGTGCTCAGCAGCTAATTGAAAGATTGGCAGTTTGAGTCCACCCAGAGGACCTCAGAAGAAAGACTTGGAGATCTACTTCCAAAAAATCAGCCACTGAAAATCCTATGGAACACAGTTCTACTGATATACACGGGTTGTCAAGAGCTGAAGTCCACTCAACGGCATTTTTCTTTTTTTCCAAAGGACTTATCTTTACTACTTCGTATTTCATGGCAGGTTTCTGCAGGTCATACTTTCAAGTAGGAGGTGGAAGGTGGAAGCTTTTACAACCCTCAAAGTATACCTACAGATAGCTATCTGATAACACTGCATTAAATCTGTATAGCATTTGTAGTTTATCAAAGTGAGGCCTGTGTATACATTATTTATTTTCTTATCACAGTAACCTTTGAAATAACAGTAGATGCAGGTTCTGTTAGCCCCGTTTCACAGAGAGGTTAAGCAGCTCGATGGTAGAACTTGAATGCAATAAAGTTGAACCTAGAACTTGCACTTTCTGACTTGAAATCTAATGCCCTCTCCAATGTCTTACACTCTGGTTGGCTGGATGAACCCTGCAAAGGAAATAATACCCCACCTAAGGTGATGAACCAACCTGGCTTGCCCAGGACTTTCCTGATTTTAAAACTCAGAGTCCCACTTTCAGGGAACCCCAGAGCCGACTTATCCATTAGGCAGAGTAGGCACAGTGCCTAGGGCCCACGACACTTTAATCCAAAAAACCAGTTTCTGTTGACTTCAACTCATGACAACCCCATGTGTGTCAGAGTAGAACTCTGCGCCATAGGGTTTTCAATAGCTGATTTTTCAGAAGTAGATCACCAGGCCTTTCTTCTGAGGTGCCTCTGGGTGGAATGAACCTCTAACCTTTCAGTTAGCAGGTGAGTGTGTTAACTGTTTGTACTATCCAGAGACTCCATAATACTTCTAGAGGCCCACAAAAGTGTATAATTTTGATTCTTCTTAACATCAGAAGAAAAATGAATAATAATGAATACATAATAATAAACTCAGCCTGGATTATATTCATCTTTATAATAATACAATCATAAAATGTGATTTTTGTTTTGTGTGTGTGTATGTGGACGAAGGGCTCCATGAAGGCAAAAGTACCTAGCATGCGCAAAGTCATAATGTGGTGCTGGGGAAATCTCTCAGTCATGGGCAAACTGGTGCAGTGGTTCACATCCACTCCTTAACATCTTAATGGTAATGGTTGATCATGGCTAAGGAACTTCAGGCTTTCCCATGAGGTGGTTGCCTACAAAAGCCAGTGTTTCACCAGATCTGTGATTTCTATGTGTCTAGCTGCTTTCCTTCTAATCGCACACTAGTGACCTGGGTTCAGTTTGGCTTCTCAGAGAAGGATCTAGCAGGCCAGAGAATCAGTGAAAAATCTCACTGGTGAACAGCAAAGCACTCCTGGTGAAGTCATGCTCTTGGATTGAACTCAACACAATGAAATTTTACTCAACTTTTTTTTCTCTGAGTGTGAGTGGGCTAGAACCACTGCCTCCCTAGTCCTCAGGGCCCCAGCAGAGTCCTCCACCCAGTTAAGCTAAACTAAGGATGTTCAGTCTAGGCCTCCAGTCTCAAAAAGTGTCCAAGTAAGTTACCTCACATCTCTGGAGAGTAAAGTGGAAATGGAGAATTTGTAGAAATGACTGAGAACAGAGTTACAAAGAAAGAGAATGTGTATTTATTGGCCATCCTTCCAGTTGTTGTGTTTGTTTGTTTGTTTGTTTTTTTAATTCCTATCTACCCCTATGGGCAACATAAATCCTTTCTGGAATATTGTAGGAGATAACGCAATCAATCTTTCCCCTGGTCTGGTGATTCAGTTCCAATTCCTTTCCCTTAGATGTTTCTTTTATTAGGTCACCTATTCAGTCGACAATATTTGTTCAATAAATGCGTCAGTTTCTATTTTAAGTTCAGGGAATACAAGGATGAAAAACAGGATGCTTTGCTTTCGGTGATTCAGTGAAAAGTGAAAGTAAAAGCCATTCAGGCAGTTATAATACGATATGTCCTTGAACGGAAGAAAGGAGCCCTAGTTTGAATGGAATCAACTCAATGGTAAGGGTTGTTTTGGTTTTAGTATGAACGAAGTTACAAAGTACAGTAACAACTGGGGAGGAGGACATCATGATGAACGATGACTGACCAATGCTTGAAAGTCCACTGGTCATCTGTCTCTTGGTTTAAGTTGGATATCACTGACACATTTTGGGGAGAGAAAAAAAAAAAATCCTGCCTGCCCCTCAGTCAACTTGCTATATACTGGAGAGAGTCATGGGTACATGATAATATCAGAGAAAAAGATGTTTGTGCAGTGGATGTATTACAGCCATGAGATTTAATCAGAGTGAGATATTTTCTGAACACCTGATCCCATTAGCAGGGTTCATTAAAAGTATTTCTAAGTATCAGTAATCATTATTATCATTAGGTGAACCCTGTTTGTTTATTCCCCTTTTAATAATTTGGAATCAAAAACCAATTCCATTGAAAATCCGAGAAAGTAAGCTGCTCTTTTCCAAGGCAAATATTTAATAAATTTAATGATGATGTTATGTGGGCTCTATTTACCATGCACAGCAGGTGCTTTACAAGCAGAAAATAAGCTGGGAAGGAAAAATAATGCTCGCTGTATGCTGAGCCGTGGGCCCTGTTCACAGCATGACCCAGAAATAAGAAAAGCGTGACTTGTTTTTACATCAGCTTTCAGGAATTAAGCAACATTGACCCTAAGAAGGGAAACGGTTAGCATTCTTTGCCCACCAGGGCCAGTGTGATTTGTTTAAGACAGGTCATAGAGGAGCAATGGATGGGACAAGAGGACCCTGGCTGCTGATCCCAGTCTTGGACAAATGTACCTTCTTGGTGCTCACTGGTCGCTGTGCACATCCTTCTTAGGGCACGTTTCATAGGGTGCTATGAAGACCCGTGTCTCTCTCCTCATTGATCAAGACCAGAAACTTTGTCTCACTCATCTTTTTGTCTGCAGCTCCTGACTCAGTGCCTGGCACATAGAATGCACTCAAAACGCATTTATCAAGTAAATAAATGAATTAATTGATGGCTTGATTCAGCTAATTGCATGGTGTATGACACTGATGACAGTAAATGCTCTGGGCATCTGTTTCTTCATCTGTAAAATAAATAGGTTGAAATAGTTGAACCCAGATTCTCTGAGACACTTCATGTCATGTACTCATTATCGCAGACCATATGACTTGGTCAATGCCATTGAAAACTGTGTCTCAGTTAGCCATGAAACGGTCGCATGTAAATTCAGAGAGTCATTGTTGTGTTCTTTCCGTACCCCATTTTTGTTTTAGATCCTTATTGGAAGGCAGCATGTCAAATCTTGCCTTGAGAAAAACGACTCCCACAGGAGATGGTAATGTATTTGATGTTTCCCTTGCTCAGAAGACTTAAAACTCTGGGAAAAAACAATGGAAAGGTCCTAATTCTTTTATATAGATATTGCATGTTTAGAAGCAATAGTCTAATTTAATTAACATTGCTAATGTTAAGCCTAAGAAAAAAATAAGAGTGCTACAATTTTTAGTTGTTAATTGCAATCCAAAGATTTTTTTTTTTATATTAACAAAAGTGCCCTTTTTGGGTGTTAGTGTCGGGGATGGGTTCTTTGTTTCTGGCTCCCACAGGGTCAAAAAGTACGTAAATTACTTATAATCCCATGCACCATGACTTATTGACTATTATTTACCAGGTACTTTAAAAACAGTTCTGTGGGTACTTCTGGGATCTTTTTTTTAATTTTTTTTATTTTTTATATTTTATTGTACTTCAGGTGAAGGCTTACAGAACAAATAGTTTCTCATGAAACAGTAGT